ATAAAAATCTACACTACTCTAAAGGTGTTTACAAACAAAGCACTATGACGTTTTCCCAAGTGTGGTTAACATTGGAGAGTTGGGCCAACAGGCATGGCATTGAATTAGGCTTCCATTAATAATAATAATACTACTAATCAAAGATTTGGGCCTTGGGCCTTGGGCTACGGAGAAATTTAATTAGGACATCCAAACGATTTCACAAAAGACTTAGTAAAATAGAAATTGATTATTTTGTGGACTTTTTCCATAATATCTATATATATATTTATACTAATGAATAATTAAACTATAATTACAAATTAAAGTAATTCAAAAAGGCTTAGATGTTACTTAATTGCATGTATTGAATTAAAGAAGTAGGCCAAAAAACAACAGTAAAGAAAAACTGAGGGAAAAACTGAGTATAGCCGTGCGGCTATACTATTGATTTCTCGAAAAATAAAAAAATCTAGTATAGCCGGGCGGTTGTACTATTTATAAGCGTATATGAAAACACGAACAGGGCATATGCGCCATGTATACTATTTTCGTTTCGGAACAGGAGTATAGCCGGCCGGCTATACCTTTTTGAAAGACAATTAGAGGAAAACCGAGTATAGCCGCGCTGATATACTTTTTGAAAAGTATGTATATTATTTTTATTCTATAGTATGTGAGAATTATTTGTATAATACATGAATTTTGTGTGTCTTATTGAAATTGTTGTAAAAATTAGGTGTATTAAAGATGAGAAATACGTGTGTACGTATATAATACATTATTAAACGCGAAAGTGCTAGAATCTTTACACGGGTAATAACTCTAGAAAATTAAAAAATGAAAAAGGGACAATAGATGCTCGAGTAATGGCCTAATAGTAATGGATAGAGCTCTGGGGCTACGGAGAAATTTAATTAGGACATCCAAACGATTTCACAAAAGACTTCGTAAAATAGAAATTAATTATTTTGGGGACTTTTTCCAAAATATAAATTTTTTTTATACTAATGAATAATTAAACTATAATTACTAAGGCTTAGATGTTACTTAATTGCATGTATTGAATTAAAGTAGGCCAAAAAACAACAGTAGGGAAAAACTGAGTGAAAAACTGAGTGAAAAACTGAGTATAACCGTGCGGCTACACTATTTCTTTCTCAGAAAATAGAACAGAATCTAGTATAGCCGCGCGGCTGTACGAATTTATAAGCGTGTATGAAGACAAGTACAGGGCATATGCGCTACATATACGATTTTCGTTTCGGAAAATGAGTATAGCCGTGCGGCTACACGATTTTTAAAGACAATTAGGGCACCTCGTATAGCCGCGCGGCTATACTTTCTTAAAAGTATGTATATTATTTTTATTAAATAGTATGTGAGAATTATTTGTATAATACATGAATTTTGTGTGTCTTATTGAAATTGTTGTAAAAATTAGGTGTATTAAAGATGAGAAATACGTGCGTACGTATATAATACATTATTAAACGCGAAAGTGCTAGAATCTTTATACGGGTAATAACTCTAGAAAAGTAAAAAATGAAAAAGGGACAATAGATGCTCGAGTAATGGCCTAATAGTAATGGATAGGGCTCTTGGGTTATGGAGAAATTTAATTAGGACACCCAAACGATTTCACAAAAGACTTAGTAAAATAGAAATTAATTATTTTGTGGACTTTTTCCATAATATATATATATATATATTTATACTAACGAATAATTAAACTATAATTACTAATTAAAGTAATTCAAAAAGGCTTAGATGTTACTTAATTGCATGTATTGAATTAAAGAAGTAGGACAAAAAAAAACAGTAAGGAAAAACTGAATATAGCCGTGCGGCTATAAATAGAAAAATAATCTAGTATAGCCGTCCGGCTGTCCTATCTGTAAACCTATGTGAAAACACGGAGAGGGCATATGCGCCACAGATAATATTTTCGTTTCGGAACAGGAGTATAGCCGGCCGGCTATACGTTTCCTAAAGACCCTACCCAACTATAGCCGTGAGGCTATACTGTCTTAGAAGTATCTGAAAATTATTTTTATAATACGTGAATTTTATGTGTCTTATTAAAATTGTTGTAAAAATTAGGTGTATTAAAGATGAGAAATATGTGCGTACGTATATAATACATTATTAAACGGTGAAGTGCTAAAATCTTGATACGGTTAATAACTCTAGAAAAGTAAAAAATGAAAAAAGGATAATAGATGCTGGAGTAATGGCCTAATAGTAATGGATAGAGCTCTGGGGTTATGGAGAAATTTAATTAGGACACCCAAACGATTTCACAAAAGACTTTGTAAAATTGAAATGAATTATTTTGTGGACTTTTTCCATAATATATATATATATATTTTATACTAATGAATAATTAAACTATAATTATTAATTAAAGTAATTCAAAAAGGCTTAGATGTTACTTAATTGCTTGTATTGAATTAAAGAAGTAGGCCAAAAAACAACATTAAAGAAAAACTGGAGGAAAAACTGAGTATAGCCGTGCGTCTATATTATTTCTTTCTCGAAAAATACAAAAGAATCTAGTATAGCCGGGAGGGTGTACTGTTTGTAAGCGTATATGAAGACACGGACAGGGCATATACTTATACTATTTTCGTTTCGGAACAGGGGTATAGCCGGCCGGCTATACTCTTTCTAAAGACAATTTGTAGAAAACTGAGTATAGCCGCGGCTATACTTTCTTAAAAGTATGTATATTATTTTTATTCAATAGTATGTGAGAATTGTTTGTATAATACGTGAATTTCGTGTGTCTTATTCAAATTGTTGTAAAAATTAGGTGTATTAAAGAGGAGAAATACTTGCGTACATATATAATACATTATTAAACGCGAAAGTGCTAGAATTTTTATACGGGTAATAACTCTATAAAAGTAAAAAATGAAAAAAGGGACAATAGATGCTCGAGTAATGGCCTAATAGTAATGGATAGAACTCTGAGGCTACGGAGAAATTTAATTAGGACACCCAAACGATTTCACAAAAGACTTAGTAAAATAGAAATGAATTATTTTGTGGACTTTTTCCATTATATATATATATATATTTTTTTTTACTAATGAATAATTAAACTATAATTACTAATTAAAGTAATTCAAAAAGGCTTAGATGTTACTTAATTGCATGTATTGAATTAAAGAAGTAGGAAAAAAAAAAAGTAAAGAAAAACTGAGGGAAAAACTGTTGCGGCTATACTATTTCATTCTCTGAAAATAGAAAAGAATCTAGTATAGCCGGTCAGCTGTACTATTTATAAGCGTATATGAAGACACGTACAGGGCATATGCGCCACGTATACTATTTTCGTTTCGGAACAACCGTATAGCCAGCCGTCTATACTATTTTTAAAAACAATTAGGGGAAAACCGAGTATAGCCGTGCGGCTATACGTTCTTAAAAGTACATATATTATTTTTATTTAATAGTATGTGAGAATTATTTATATAATATGTGAAATATGTGTGTTTTATTGAAATTGTTGTAAAAATTAGGTGCGTTAAAGATGAAAAATACGTGCGTACGTATATAATACACTGTTAAACGCGAAAGTGCTAGAATCTTCATACTGGTAATAACTCTAGAAAAGTTAAAATTGAAAAAGGGACAATAGATGCTCGAGTAATGACCTAATAGTAATGGATAGAGCTCTGGGGCTACGGAGAAATTTAATGAGGGCACCCAAACGATTTCACAAAAGACTTAGTAAAATATAAATTAATTATTTTGTGGACTTTTTTCCATAATTTTTTTATATACTAATTAATAATTAAAGTAATTCAAAAAGGCTTAGATGTTACTTAATTGCATGTATTAAATTAAAGAAGTAGGCCAAAAAACAAAAGTAAAGAAAAACCGAGGGAAAAACTGAGTATAGCCGGGCGGCTATACTATTTCTTTTTGAAAAAATAGAAATGAATCTAATATAGCCGGTCGGCTATACTATTTATATACGTATGTAAAGACATGCACAGGGCATACGTTCCACGTATACTATTTTCGTTTTAATTTTTTTTTTCAAAAAAGGAGTATAGCCGGCCGGCTATACCATTTTTATAGACAATTAGGGAAAAACCTGTCTTAAAAGTATATATGTTATTTTCATTCAACAGTATGTGAGAATTATGTGTATAATACGTGAATTTTGTGTGTCTTGTTGAAATTGTTGTAAAAAATAGATGTATCAAAGATGACAAATATGGCCGTACGTATATAATACATTATTAAACGCGAAGGTGCTAGAATCTTTATACGTGTAATAACTCTAGAAAAGTAAAAAATGAAAAAGGGACAATAGATGCTCGAGTAATGGCCTAATAGTATGGATAGGACTCTTGGGCCATGGAGAAATTTAATTAGGACACCCAAACGATTTCACAAAAGACTTAGTAAAATAGAAATTAATTATTTTGTGGACTCTTTCTATAATTTTTTATACTAATTAATAATTAAAATATAATTACTAATTAAAGTAATTCAAAAAGGCTAAGATGTTACTTAATTATATGTATTAAAATAAAGAAGTAGGCTAAAAAACAAAAGTAAAGAAACCAATTATATGTTTTTTAAATTTAAAAAAGGAAAAACAATTAAATTTTATTTTTTAAACAGGTATAGCCGGCCGGCTATACTATTTATATATTTAAAAAAAGAAGTCCCCATCATATAGGTGCCACATGTCGGAAAAGTAAAGCCGGGCGGTTTGGTAAAAAGCACGAGCATCTAACTGCACACTCATACTCTGCAAATCTTGATTGCCTACAACTCCTAATTTCTATTAGGGAGATTGGGATTTGTAGGGGAAGATGACGAGCCAAGCATGTGGTAAACATGTGCACAGAGACATTTCCTTCCAAATTTGAGGATTGAAAAGACAGTTGAAACTGGAAAATGATGGATGGATGATGATATATTGGATGTGAAAGACAGGTGCATCTGTACATTTCATAAAAATAATGGCAAACTTGTGGTGCAATGAAACTTTAATGCCCACAAAAATAATCATTATAATCTAACCATTTTTCCAAACAAAGAACATAACTAACAATACAATATAAATACCCATTTTACATAACTCTGAAACCCCAATAGGATGCTATATAATTATAGATAAATGGGGGGCAGCTCCTGTTTTTTATTGCACATAGAAGTTTTTCCCTTTCAACTTTAAATTATATGCATCTGCTTCCAGGACATGCAAAGAATGATTTGGCTTATCTAATGGAAAACTAACTTGTCTAAAAGTGTATATGTTACAGAATTACGAATCATGCGGTTGCAGACTGTTTGTCTTCATGGTCTTCCAGATTCAAAGCCTGAAGCAGCTTTGGCCAGGACTCAGGAATCCCTCCAGGAAGATCAAACTCTAACAATTTTCCTCGACTGCGGTAGAACCCCTCCACAGGTTGACTCTGCAAGGACAACATGATATGTGACGCACAAATTACAAATTGAACCAAAATTAAAGATTGTTGTTACAAAAAGACTAATGACATAAATAAGTATTGATTGGCCAGTGTCCAAACGTGTTCAACAAGGAGAAGGTCCATCTATTAGCCAATGCTGTTCCAATGGATCAATAATGACAAAGCAATCCGATGCTGTTCCAATGGATCAATAATGACAAAGCAATCTTCTCATGCATGGAGAAGATTGTTTTAGTAAGCATAGTTGGACACTTAATGCAAGAATTAATACAGTAACAAAGAGCATGCCAAGTAGAACAGTCTCTGAGGCATCAATCCTAAGCAGGAAGAATGGGGAGTATATTATGGGCGGCAGTGCTTCAGTCATATTATTATTATTAATATATTTCAAACTTAAAATAAATCTTCTAAACTATTTGGTTGACTTCTTAAAAAGGAGTGAAAATAGCATCCCAAGATGCTGAAACAATACCTTATCGTTATATATCCGGAGTCTTTCCTTTACAACTTCTTCAGTGTCATCGGATCGTGTGATAAGCTTTGATGCACAATGTGGAGGGGGAAGAAGTGGAGCCATGTACATGCCAGGCTTCCCATCCTCACCCTTAATGTCAATGCAGGCCACATTGTAATTCCCTCCACACTCACTACAAATCCTTCTTCCAAGGCACTTTGCAAGTAGAGCCTCTTCACGAAGCTTTAGGTTGACCACCAAGTCAATGTCTGTTACTCCCTCTAAAATTTCCTGTAAACCAATCAAAACATAGAAGGCAAGTTATAACCACAGAGGTAAAATATATTTGAGAGGAGGGGAGGGGGAATGGTAGGGAAGCTGAATTAATGGGACATGAGAATATACTATTTTATCATACAATAAGCTCTGTTGCCAATTTAAGGGCACTAAGTCAATGCCTACTCTTCTTTGTGTAGCCACTGGAGCCATTATAAAGGAAAAGAAATTCAAACTACTTGATGAAGTGAGCATCCTTTATAATCAATTTCAAATTTTGGACTGTCCTCCAGAGGTCATAAAAACCTGGAAATTCCCACTAATTCAGGATTTTTGAAAAATTGCACAACATGGTAGATGTTCAGAGTCTAATAATCATACAGAATTTCAATGAACATAAGTCCCGAAGGGATGCAAATTTCTTATACAAATATGCTCAATGAACATCGCCTGCTCATGAATCTATATAACCCAAAACCAAGTGACTCCCATAAGCAAACATATTATCAAAGACAACACAGATGAATTCAGATTTTGCTGACCCAAACATTAAATTAAACCAAACAAAAAAACATAAAGCAATAACCTTTGAAACCAAAAGAAGCAAGACAGAAGTACTGCTATGCTGGAATTTGGAGGCAGTAGAGTAATAAAATTGTGTGCCTTCAAAGACCATAAGTTTATTATTTATGTGCATAGTTCAACTCTACTAACCTCAACTAAATCTTTAATTCCAAATACATTTTTTCATCTACACCTGCATGATCATATTGTCCCTATTTGCTATCTCCCAAGCAAGATCATCCAATGTATGTTTCAAGCAAAATTTTGATGGGAAAAAAAATGGTATTACCGCCTGACGAATAGTTCGAGGAAAACCGTCAAGAATGAAGCCAGTTTCACCCTTAGCTGCACTAGCTTCAAGACGCTTGGACAACAAGTTTATGATAATCTCATCCGAAACCAATTTGCCCTGGTTCACAACCTCTGCAAGCTGCAATTTTTTTGTTCGGGTTTTTCACAAATTGAAATTTTCTGAAAGAAAAAAGAAAAAAACAATCAAAGAAAAGGGATAACCCTAAGGCCTAAGGGAAGGGGGACCTGAAGAGCGAAGGGACCAGAAGACGAGAGCTCGTCGCGAACGAGATCGCCGGTGGCGATGTGGGGGACACAACGTCCCGCTGCAGAGGAAGAGAGTTTTGGGCGATGACAGAGGAAGACGCCTTGAGGTCAGTTTCGGAATTTAGAAAAGATGATGAACGGAAGCTCCGAACTGAGAAAGAGCTTGTCGCTCTTAATCTAAAAACGCGGTTCAAAACCGCCATAGGAGGAAGCAAAAGTCAATTTTTATTTTTATTTTTTGGGGAGCCGCAGAAAAAGAGAGAAGAGAGAAGAGAAAAAAAGGGCGGGGGGGGTGTGTGTTTGTTGTGGTGGTGTTGTGGGGGGAGGGTTTTATGTTTGGGGACAGGAGGACGGGAGTGTGAAATTCGATTCTGATTTTTACCCTTTTTAGATTTCCCCCGGAAGCCAGGGAAGCAGGCGGTTTTTGGCGCTTAGAAATGTGCCACGACACGTGTAATAAAATCCAGTGCTCTCCACAAATGTCAAAAGTACATAAATGTTTTCCTTTTCAGCTTTAATTTATTATTCTGTCAATTTTTGTTGGAATTTACTTGCTTTTCTTTGTCATCTGGATTTGAGGTGCATGTCATATTTTCTTGTTTGATATCGCAAATGTGACATATTGCGTCCTTGAGGGGTTTGGCTCCTGCATATCTCAGAAAAGGCCTCTGGATTCGGCAATTCCATGAAATTTCATACCATTACATTATAATGAAAATTTGCAAACAAAGATGCAGTTACTAATTTATAGATTTCAAAAAAGGGTCAAAAAGGAAATTACATCACGAAAAAAACACTCGAACAAAGCACTAGACCAAATCGGAATACAGAGTAATAATCTTACATAACATCACTATGATTGAAGGATTAAACATATAAAATACAAATCAAATACACGTGCAGTTATACAAAGGTTGTCGTTTTTCCGCCTACATCTGATCAGACCTGCCCTCATCCTCACTAATTCCATCGCCTGCATGCCTGCAGCCAGATCAAGCAGACAAGGGTAAGAAAACAATGAACAGGATATTTCTGCCAGATTTTGACTTGACATGAACCTTTATCACAAGGTTTCAAAATGTTATACATAGTTTTGAAATGACAAAAGTGGGATCGACATGTCACAAGGAAAATGTAGCCATATATACTTCTCTTTTAATAAAAGCACCTATGAAAGAGACTTCTTGTAAGTAGCCTTACTTTGATTTTTAACCTCATAGAAAATCCATCTCCCTCTAGCATTTTGCATCGCTGCAGTTTTCTTTGAAAGGAAAGCTTTTCCTAGTAAAGTGAATATAACATAAAGGGGCTCAGAACATACCGCCACGATGTGGTTAGATTGCGAGCTTTTCTATCCAATTGAAGGTTTTCCATGGCACTCGAAGCTCGAATGACATCCTCTGGACTTTCATCACTATCATATCTCCAATTGTAGTCATCTTTCCTGTAGCTAGACATGGACGACCCACCTCTTCGATCTGAATGCTAGAATGTATCAGTTAAACAGAAACAAATGCAAGCAGATAAAGGACAGGGCATAAGAAATTTGCTTTGTCACTCACCAGATGACTGGGAAGACGCACCAGGCCTATAATAAGCACACCAACAAACTAATATCAATTAAGAGTTACAGAGAAAAGGAAAACGAGACAAAGTAAATACAAAATATTGAATCAGTAATGTAGGCTCAGCACCTTCCTAGTGGAGGCAGCCCTCCAGCAACAGATGATGAAGAAGGTCTTCGCATGTTGCGAGAGTCTAAATTGGATAAGGACTCTGTTTCTGAAGTAGCTAGCCTCCTTCCAGTACCCCTTGCTTGAGATAAATTCTGTAGTAACAAGATATAATGATAAGAAATCTGCTAAAGGACTAAATACAAACAAAAGATCAGCTAAAGAAATTTATATTTTTGCTTCATTCATTGTCAACCCAGCTTTGTCGTTCGGCCAGGAAGTTTTTTACCCTGGTTAGTAGAACCTCAAAATTGTATACTAATCCCATCCTATGACTGATCAAGAGATCTATAACAAAGGGGAAAAAATGCCCATAGGTATAGGAGAGACTATGTCATGCAATCATGTGAACTAATCTATACTGTGTCCAGAAGAATTAATACAAATCAATTAGCAGCCTCGGTTTCGTGATAAAACATAACAATCAGGTAAATGTATCTTGAACCAAAGAAATTATTGCCATGTAAGACTACAGTCCGATTGCAAAACTTGTAAATTATGTGCTTTAACTCAAAAAATATCAAACCTCAAATTTCAAAAATCCTTCAAGCACGTCCAAAAGCAAAGGACCACTATCCCCATTTCGGTTAAGATCATATCCATTCTTGCTACTAAAGTCCTTCAACTCAGCTTTCCAAGAATCCTTTTGCTGCGATTCGACAAAAGCAAAAGCAACAATCATTAGCATATGATGAACAACACAAGACACTCAAGACACTTTGTGCACTAAAATACTTGATTACCAAATTACACTCAGGCTGATAAACTTTTAGCGTATGGTTTAGTTGCGCCCAGTCTAAGTATTCGCATACTAGTGCTGTAAGCAACCTTCCTACAATGAGCATGTGAAAGTGAAATTCAGCTTAAGAGCAGAAGCCAAGATGAAATTACTTTACTTGAACAAAGGAGGAGCAAGGGATAAGTAAGAACCTGAAGGGGAAGCATGGAGCTGTTTAGCACGATCGTTGCAGCTACCAAGCAATGCCGGAGGCAAGCCTTCTTCTTTCTCGATGACCTTGTCCTCCTCTTCAATTGCCTCAAACACACTTGCTCTCAACTCAGCCTACCACAACAGTAAAATCAGCCAACGACCCAGAAAAACCATTTCTCAAGAACAATAAGTTCGATCATGTACATCAAACTAATACTAAAATATCCAGAATTATCAATCAGCCCCTAATTTTGCACAATGGGGGATCGCGTTCAAAAACTCGAAGCTTCAAATTCCACTTAAGCAAAACAAAGGTACAAACATGAAATTAGAAAACCCTAAAAGTCAACTAAACTCAAGCAACATTTCAAGGATTAACCACAGAAAAAAACCTCATTTTGGGTTCAAATCAGCTGTGAATGCGAATTGAGGAGATCCAAATGATAAAGCATGGAAATGGGGAAAATATGGGGGGGCAAAAGGGGGAATTTGTACCCGGATCTTGGCCAGAACGCCCTTCTTCTCAAGGGTGCGAGTGACCAGAGTCTTGAGGTCCATCATCTCCCTCGTGTAGTCGTCCATCTTTTATGTTCTTCAGGATTTAGGGTTTTCAGAGTGAGAGGATGTGATTGGGATAGAGAGCTCACCCGCCCTCTCTTTCTCAAAGTTTTGAATTTCGCAGCTTTCTTCGATGCTTTGCTTCTACAGAGAGAAAGGAAAGGAAATATGGCGAAATGAGAACAGTGGGTGTAATAATGGGTAATTGGATGAATGTGGGCCCCACTGGAGGGTGTAGACGTGCAGTTAGCCGGTAAATATCATCTGGGCTGACACTGTGAACTTTGTTTTGGGCCTTTAAATGATATTTTTTAGCCCATGAGTCTATTACCAGCTTTTTATATGGGCTTAATTATGTACATGCCCCCTGTGCTTTCCAACTTATCTCAGATTACCACCTGTGGTGGAAAACGTCTCAAAGTACCCCCCAACGTGCAAAAAACTGTCTCACGTTACCCTTTCCGTCAATTTTTTTGAAGTTCCGTTACGAATGTTACTGTTCATCTCCCCCAAAATTCCAGAACAGTAGCCCCTCCCTTTTGTTACTGTTCATCGCTTATTTACTCTCCAAAACTCAGAAATTTCTCCTAACCAACACAACTAGCAGCAAGAACAACTCGAGAGGTTGAAAAATCATACCTGGATCGAAGAAAATGGTGCTCGGAATCGCCCGAACGAGCAATGGAGATTTTGGGTAAAAACCGGCCAATTTCTTGCTTTTTTCGGTGATCCAGACGACGGTTGGCAGCGGCTGAGATGTGAGGGTGGTAGAGGACAACGTGCTGGTTCTTTTGATATCCATGTCGTCGCTTGGGGTGGCCGGAGGAGGCGATGGCAGCCCAAAAACTGGTGCGATGAACAGTAACAAATGGGAGGAGCTGCTGTTCTGGAATTTTGGGGGAGATGAACAGTAACGTTCGTAACGGAACTTCAAAAAAACTGACGGAAAGGGTAACGTGAGACAGTTTTTTGCACGTTGGGGGGTACTTTGAGACGTTTTCCACCACAGGTGGTAATCTGAGATAAGTTGGAAAGCATGGGGCATGTACATAATTAAGCATTTTATATGTGCATGTCTATCTCTCTTGTCACGTGAAAATATCAAATTAGTGATGAAAAAAACCTAATTGGCACGAACACTAAAAATAACAATGTTATTGTCTGGTTTGTATGGGGTTGTAGTTGATTAATATGACGTGCCATTAATCCTAAGGATGTGAAGACGATAAAGTAATTATGATTACACTCGGAGGTGTCATATAAGCTGAGAGTTGTTCTTATGATTTTTTTATAAATTTAGGCGGACTACCCGAAGTCTATGTAACTTTAGTGATTATTTAACTTAATCTTTTCAAGTGTAATTCAAGCCTCATAGGTGGAGGACTCACTACATTTTCCATACAATCCAAGAATCTTGTGACCATGCATAAGAAACCACAAGAATATACTCAATTTCTTAAAGAAATGGAGATTTATGAAAAAGAGATGTCCTTTATTTAAATATAAAATAAAATAACCATTCACAAACTTCAACAACTCAGCTTGGGAGAGAAGCAGAGAATTTATGCTTTTGTGCAAGAAAAGTTTCAAATTTTGACTGAAAATAAAATAATGAGACCTTCTGTTTCTCCCTCCAAAGTTTAAAAAGCAAAACCCAGAAAGAAAAGAAAAAGAAAAAGAAAGTAGTTATTGCGACGAATATCGTTCTCTCTCTCTCTCTCTCTCTATATTCATTATCATTTACGAAACATTTCCGTCTTCGCTTCACTGCTTGCACTCTCTCCTCCTCCTCCGAGCTCACTCACCAGTTAGCCCTAAAATCAATGGCGCCAATCGACCCTCACTCGTTTACTGAGTCGACTCACCCACTCGCCACCCACATCTCACTCTCTCTCTTCTTCGACTTCCCCTCCTCCACCATCCACGCCTCCGCCCTCCTCACCCTCCCGGCCCCACACTCTGGACCACTCTCCCTCGACGCGCGTGCACTCACCGTCCACTCCGTCCTCGACCCCCAATCCTCTGCTCCCCTCCCTTTCTCCCTCTCCTCTCCTGACCCAATCAAAGGCTGCCACCTCACCGTCTCCCTCTCCAACCACTCCTCTTTTCTCATCGTCTACTCCACTTCCCCTTCCTCCTCCGCCCTCCAGTGGCTCTCTCCTCCCCAGACCTTCAACAAAACGCTGCCGTTTGTCTACACACAATGCCAGGCCATCCACGCGCGCTCTGTCTTCCCATGCCAGGACACTCCGGCGGCGCGTGTGCGCTACGCGGCAAAGCTTAACGTCCCCCGCCAGCTCTCTGCCGTCATGTCCGCTCGCCACGTGGACCGCCGTGACCCGATCGCCGGCGAGGGAGCCGCCCCGCCGTACCTGTTCGCCTTCGCCGTCGGCGAGCTAGGGTTCCGGGAGGTGGGACCGAGAACTAGGGTTTATTCGGAGGCGGTTCCGGCGGTGCTGGAATCGGCGGCGACTGAGTTTGCGAGCACCGAGGACATGATCAGGCAAGGGGAGGCCTTGTTTGGGCCGTATGAGTGGGAAAGGTTCGATCTCTTGGTGCTTCCGCCGAGCTTTCCGTACGGTGGTATGGAGAATCCAAGAATGACGTTCTTGACGCCGACGGTGCTCAAAGGCGACTCGAGCGGCGCGCAGGTGGTGGCGCACGAGCTGGCGCATAGCTGGACTGGGAACTTGATCACCAACAAGACTAATGAGCATTTTTGGTTGAATGAGGTACTATCACATTATCTTTTTTTATCTCATATTCAAGTGGGTTGGTTTTGTTCAGATTTTTGGTTCATGGTTGGTTTTGATCTTTTATATTGACAACATTCATGGATATTGTTTGTTTTTGCCTTTATGATACTTGTTTTCTTCATTTGAACTTTAAATATAGTCTTGTTAAATTTCTTCATACATATTGTTCATTTTTGGTCAATTTTTAGCATTTATCTTGTTAAATTTTAAATATAGTCCATCTTCTAGAAGCATAACACACTAGGGTATTTGTATAATATCTGGGCTAGGAGAATTTAAAGAATGTATCTTAGGCTTAATTGTGGGTATGGTTGATTATGTTTGAGATTTGCAATGTGCATGCTGTTCCTTGGAAGTGAGGTTAGCGCGTTAATCCTTATTTATTGTTACAGGGTTTCACGACATATGCTGAGAGGAGAATTGTTGAGGCTGTGCAAGGTGAGGACAGAGCTGCATTAAACATTGGAATTGGTTGGCGGGGTTTAAATAAGGAAATGGAGAGGTTCAAGGATAACTTGGAGGTCACAAAGCTGAAAACCAACCAGGAAGGAGTTGACCCAGATGATGTGTATTCTGAAGTTCCATATGAAAAAGGTTTCCAGTTTCTATGGCGCATTGAACGCCAGGTAGGTTGATTATATGCTATAACTTCTTTGCCTCATGATACTGTGCTATAAGGAGGATTTGATTGTCACACGTTTACTTTGGAATGTTAAGGTTGGAAGGCCTGCATTTGATGAATTTCTCAAGAAATATATTGCCACCTTCAAGTTCCAGTCAATTGATACCGATACATTTCTCGATTTTCTGAAAGCAAACCTACCTGGAATAGAGAAAGAGGTTGACTTAATATTGTGGACTGAGGGTACTGGTATCCCTCCTGATGCCTATGAACCAGTTTCCAGTATATATTCAAAGATTGTGTCAATGGCAAATGAATTTAAGCTTGGTAGGATGCCAAGGGAGGATGAAGTTGCTGATTGGCAAGGGCAGGAGTGGGAGCTTTACTTGGAGAACCTGCCGAAATCTATTGAAGCTTCACAGGTACTTGTACTACTGTTATGTTTCTTCTCTTCAAGTGATTTTCTATTACCAGGTGCTATGACTTGGATTTTATATCTGCTTTCAACTCACTTCTTGTAATTACTTTATTTCTTAGTTTGGATAAGTTAATAACTTTTGCTTCAACTTCTAATTCATATTTAGTAGTAAACATACGCTTTTAATACTTCTGTGGTGGGTTCTTCCATTATAGTTTTTGCATCAATAAGGTTTTTCAATTAATATATAAGCAGTTATTACTGTACTATGGGGTGCACTTATGATGCTGACCACATCTGCTGGAATTTTATTTTTGGGCATAGAATTGAGTGCTTGTGAAGGCAAAGCCAGGCGCACTTATTTTATACACAGTGGTTCTTCCATTACTGACCAGAAAATCTTATTCTATTTCTTCATATGCAATCTTGTCTTTTTCATTGGACTGTGTCAAGGGTGATTTTGAGTTCAAAATTGGAATTTGATGATGTTGCAATTTTTTACATGGTTAGAAGTTGGGGATAGGCATATCTCTTATAACTTGGTTTGCATGTGGAAACATATTCTTTTAGATTTGAAATAGCCTTAGGAGCTCATACCTTGTTGAGTCAGATTGTAGGAGTGAAATAGCCCTGTATTTTTACTAAGTTTCATTTTAACTCATTTCTGTTTCAGCTTCAGTTGTCAATGCACTTGTTAAATCTATCCCACTTTTATGTTGTCTTATCATAACATGTGTTTGGATTTGCAGATTTTGGAGTTGAATTCACGCTTCAGGCTGTCCGAATCGAAAGATTACGAGGTGAAGGTGGCATTCCTCCTACTGGCCATTGCTTCCAAGTGCAAAGAACACTATGTTGAGGTGGAGAAAACTTTGAAGGCAGTTGGAAGGAAGAAGTACCTTGTCCCACTCTACTCTGCTCTTGTAGAAGGCGGCCCCGGAAAGGAAGAAGAGAAGATTTTGGCCAAAAGGGTGTTTGCAGAGGCGCGTGACACTTATCACCCTATAGCTCAAGGTGTTATTGAGACAATTCTTAGCAAACACATCTAGGAGGATGGAGTTTGAGAATGTAAATCACATGTGAATTGAATTTCAGAAGCTAATCCCTTTTGATGATGCCTGTCGTTGGCTATGCTAATCTCTGAGATATGTAGGCTAAGCCTTGATTGTTGTTGAACACGTGCATCTTTGTTGATGCTTTGCTCATATGAATGATCTCGTAAATAAAAAAGTAATGCTTTTCTATCTCGATTATTGTTGATATTGCTGGCATCTTTGGAGGATATATAACACCCCACACAAACAAACAAAAACTCCATTAATCATTTCGACTTACTGGAAGAGCTTCGTAGATGGTATGACATGTAGTTTGGAGATAAATTAAATTGTGCTGGAAATATTCTGATCACGTACTGAAAATGTGTTCACTGAAACATGGGTTATGTGAGTTCCGATTACTTATCTCATATTCTCAACTTTCCCGATTCATGATTTCCTTCATTCAATTGAAGCAAACATACAGAGTAACATATCCTCTCTCTTAAAAAAAAAAAAAAAAAAAAAAAAATTGGGGTGGAAGAACGTCATCTATTGTGTACATACCGGCCGACGAGAATTCCATTCTGATATTGCTATGTGCGCCACTAGAGCTTTGATCATATGCTTTGAGCCGAGTCGATGATAATATTCGTGTACGTATGCCAGATGAAAAGGCTGTCATTTTAATAGACAGAAAAAGAGTATGGGAAAAAAATGGGTAACTTTCCATAATAACCTCCATAGTGGAACAAAGGCACTGAGAAGGTAAACATTACTTTGTCTGAGCTTACGCAAGCAGATTGTGGTGAACTTGCTTGCACGAAAACCACTCCTTTGTACTTGTCCTGTGGCAATTGTAAGGATAGTGGCTCTCGTGATCAAAATATCCATCAGTACCGAAATCAGCGCGTAACCTAGGATTAGCACAGGATCAATTTTTAGCCATGAAATCAGCTAAAAAGAAAAGGCCATGAAACTGAATATGAGCTTGCATTCAATTATAAGAGCTGCTTGATCCAATTTTCTGTCAACCATACAAGCGAAACCCAGTACATACATAATCACTCTTGAGTAAATTTTCTTTTCTTTCTTTTTTCTGAGCTAAGAAGTTCCTTCTCTCTTCAGAATGTAGTCCACTGCCTCTTCTACGGTATCCACAACCTACAGTAGGAACAAAAGGGTATGCAAAAAGTTTAACGCAAATGCAATCAAATGGAAATTATAAGTTATTACGCATTTTTCACACTTGCAAGTGACAAACTATCTCTGGCACCGCCTAAATATTCTGATGATGTATATCCAACGTACCAGATCTGCTGGAAACTCTGCATGATTATCTTTCCCCTTAAAAACGCCTGTCCTCGTCAAAATAGAAAACCAAGGATGTCCAGCCTGAGAACCAGGTGCAATGCTTGTCAAAATAAATTCAAACTTCAAAGCATTTAATAGTAACAAATTTTCACCGTAAGAAGAAAGACAGACCTGTTGAGCACCTTTGATATCAACTGAAGGGTTGTCACCAATCATATAAAGGGTTTTGAAAGCATGCGACTGAGAGTTTCCAGTATTTGTTGTATCATTATGACAATGAGATGGTTGAAGCTGTGTCAATAGAGCTTCAGTGTTCTTAAACACAAACGGATTTGGCTTCCCAAAAGAGACATATTCCAAAGCATCATGGTGAATCCTGCAGCAAAGCCAAAAGTAAATTATATTACTGAAAGCATGCAAAGGTAGCATGGACTGCATATGACAGAATAACTTAGTGTTCAATCAGACGTGCTGGCATGCAAAGGTAGGATTATAAACACAATGGAATATGACACCTCACCTGTTGAAGATGCTTTCAAGTGCAATTCTGAAAGCACCCATTCCGAGTCGCTCAGAAGGAAATGCAGCCTGTATGTTATAAGCAGGCGGCTGATCAGTACAATTCCAGTACCATGTGAAACTTAAAGTTGAAAAAGAAAGAAGGTTGATGATGAATAAAGGGAAGAGAGAAAAAATGAATCCTACTCTTCTAAATGTCAGGGATTGGGGCATATCATCCATATAGAACCCAATGCATCGAAGATGTTCATGGGCATAGTACAAGATTCAACGGGTTTTAGCAAACAGATCACTTAAGCAAACAAACAAATCGTGGCTTGTTTCTTTATATCTCCAAATTCAGGATTCAGTTTTTCAGCCCACATCTTTATAGAATCATAGCTACCAACCTGATACTCAAGATCATCTGCGGCAAAATATAGAGGTGGTTGATGGCCATTCTCTTGTCCAGGAAACCCTCCAGATCTTAGAATGTCACAGAGAACCTAATTCAATTCATGGATCAGCTCACAGCTTTGGTAAGGACACAAATGACCGCGGTCATCTGCAATAACATGACGGTAAAGTTGCGGTTCCCAAAACTTTATTTTCTACTTCACACACATACCAAAGTTGGCAATTTATGTGGGATTTGAGCCCGCTAGGCCAAGGGAAGCTACAATTTCAAATTCTTAGATGCTCTGATTTCCTAATACTGCATTCTAAATAGTAAAATGAAAAAGATACCTGAATGTCCCTGCCCCAATCTACAGGGTCGCTGACGACAAAAGCTGCACTAACCCTGTTAGAATAAACATCATATCTTGGCACAGACTCCTTGGGGTGGCTGCAATCCAATGCCTGCTTAGTTCTCCACAGTTTATATTGAGATACAGGATCAATATTCTTGAAGTAGGATGCATACTCATCTAATGAGAGAACTTTTCTGCCACCACAAATGAATTTGGCTATTTATTACTCTCACAAAATCTAGCAACAGGAGGTATCAAATTCAAACTCAGACGACTCTACAATCAAGAACAAGCTAGACTTTAGGTTAAAAATTTACTTGAAACCATAATCAGACATTACAAGAGCCGGTTCCCCTTTTCCAAGAGCAATAATGAGTTCATTCTCATATCTGTGAGTAAAACGGATAAAATCGCCATAAGATAATTAAAATAGGTTAATACATTGTTTACACTCTGAACTATAAACAAAGTCAGGGGAGAATATGATACATCAAAATTACACATCAATGTAGCAAAAGATTCATGTCAAACTGACATATACCTTCTCAACAGATTTTTAAAAGGTGTGTGACCCTGTACAACCTGCATCACGATAAAAAAAGAAAAGAGAGCTATTCCAAAGGTTCCATCAGTCAAATAAAATTCACCAAAAATTGGAAACAAAAGAACATCATCTTTAAGCTCATAATACATAATTAAAATGTTTAGAATATTACCTGAGAAGGCAAGATGTTAACTCCCAAAAGTTCAGTTAATTCAGCGGCTCGTCTTGATTCCGGTATGCCACCTCCTATTTCAACCGCATAGTAGCTATTAGAAAGTTTATTCTTCCACTTTGTATCTAACTCTTTGGAACAGAGACTACAAAGGAACAATCCACGTGACATGGGCTAAGTATAAATATACTGGTAAGACACTCAGACACACAAGTAAGAATATCTCAAAAATTATAGACTTAAGTCAAAATTATGAACAAATATCCATTGTTGAACTAAATGAAATTCGAATGGAGTTCTAACCAAAACATAATGAATGTTTCCAATGTGAAAACGCTCAGATGACTTACCATTGGTCAAAAACAGAAAAGGAGCCTTCAAAGTACCTACAAAGAAGCAGTATTTTCATTAAGCTAGAGATACTATGAGCGAAAAAGTAAACCAAGTCAATGAAAAACCATCATCCACAATAACACAATACATAAACTTGAGCCAAATGAATCAGTTCACTTGCCCAGAAAATAAGAAACAAAAACCAATTTCTATTTTTCTTTTTCTTTTTCATTTTGCTGAAAAATAAATGAAATTTGTTAATTTAGAGAGAGAAAACATGGAGTTCTTAGTACCTGATATTCCGTACAACTTCCTTAAAGCTCGCGGAGACCCTCCAACGGGAACACGGCCACGGAGAATAACCCCGTCAATGTCAAACGCAATTCCAAACGAAGACCTACAATGCAACCAAACATCACCTTTTAGCTATTTCTATAATTTTCCTACCGTTTCTCGGAAGCCAAACAGAGAATTGGATATAACCGTTCGGGTTCGGGCCTAGATTGAAACTGCAACTGAGAGTATGAACGCGATTGAAACAAATATGGCACTCTATTTTTGCTCTGATAAACCTTGAAGACCGTACGGTATGTCATCCTCATTGGCGTCATCGCGTTCTCTCTCTCTCTCTCTCTCTCTCTCTCTCTCTCTCTTCTGGTTCAGCTTTGCTCTCTGAGCTTCGTGCTCGTGGCTACAGTTTAACGGTAACTGTCTCATACGGCGCGTTACGCCGCGTCGTATGCAATTGTGAACCTTACCTTACCCAAGTTAGCGCGCCACGTGGTAAACCTAAAGGAGCATTTTTCAAAGTGACAATTATACCCTTGTATTTTTATTTGGGTTAGTATATTACAACTTTCGTAAAAAAAAAAAAAGTATATTACAACTTGAGCTACAAATCCGTTATACCCTATAACTATGTCAATGCATATGGATATCCGTTATACCCTATAGTTGTAGTTAGAAGGAAAAATCGAATCTAAGACCTTGAATGCATATGTAAATGTTCTTAACCATTTGAGTTACAAATCTGTTACACCCCATAATTATTCAACTTATAATTGATTATTTACTTTGTTATTGAAAAAGAAAAACAATAGTGGACTATTATTTAGTCATAAATCAGCAAATGAAACCAACTATGAACAACAAAGATGAGTTGGTAGTTATCAATTGTTAGATTGTCGAATCATGTTATATGTGTTTATACGATGTAATTACTTAATAATTTATCACTAATATACCCGTCAATTAAATTCATATAAAAAGTGTGAATACGATTTTGACAAAAAGAAAAAATTGAAAATTTTATCTTAGAAATATAAATGATTATAAAATTTTAATTTGGCAAGTATATCAATTAACGTAGTAGAAATTTTGTTGAGTTGGGAATTGACTTGTACCCAACATGAATCTAAACTCGACAAAACTCAAACACTATTAATAGTTGCAGCCAGAAAGTTAGGGCAAAATCGGAATTTTAGGCCAGCAGAACAACACGCTGGTCCTACCCTGTTCACTATACGCCATTCGCTCCTCCTTCTCAAAAGGTGCACAGAGAGGGCTCTCGAAAACCCTAATTGCCATATCTGACTCAAACTTAAGCAAATCTGCACCGGAAGTTGGTAACTTTATTCATTTCGGAAACCACAGATTGCTCTAGCTTTCCCTTTTCTTTTTCTATTTTTGTTCGTTTGTTGAATTCGAAGTAGCCATGCCGCCAAAGGCATCGAAGGCCGACTTGGCAAAGAAGCAGAAGGTCGTGGAGGACAAGACCTTTGGTCTGAAGAACAAGAACAAGAGTAAGAATGTCCAGAAGTACGTACAGAATCTCAAGCAGTCAGTCCAGCCCAAAGTAGACCCAACCAAAGCCAAGGTCCGCTTCTCACTGTTTCTTATTCGGATCCTCTCATATGTCTGTTATTTTTCCCGTATTGGGTTGTATTTGGTTAGACAAGAATTAGCTAAAATAATGAAAATTGATGATTCTTATTAGAAAATAACGTTTGGATGTAGTTTTGTGAAATTGGGTTTTATCATTTTTTTAATGGGTCTTGCAGAAAAAGAAGGAGGAAGAGAAAGCCAAAGAGAAGGAGCTTAATGATTTGTTCAAGGTTGCTGTTAGTCAGCCAAAAGTGCCAGCTGGTATGTAGTATGTACCCCAACTCTGACATGTTTCTTAGTCGTGTTTGGTGATAGTTGATTATATTGTGTTCAATAGCGGATTGTTTATGGTTTGTTTGTAACCGAATTGGGAATTTGAATAGGTGTTGATCCCAAGTCTATATTGTGCGAGTTTTTCAAGGTTGGGCAATGTACTAAGGGATTTAAGTGCAAGTTTTCCCATGATTTGAATGTTCAGAGGAAGGGTGAAAAGATTGATATTTACAGTGATAAGCGCGATGATGGTGAGAGGATTCACATGTCTTATTTACCGTTTTCATGCTAATATATGGGCATATGTTTTGCTTATTCCGTGTTGATTATATTTTCAGAAACAATGGAGGATTGGGATCAAGAGACGTTGGAGAAGGTTGTGGAGTCAAAGAAGAATGAGTATAACCAGAATAAGCCCACCGAGATTGTATGTCTATTTCAGTGTTAAGATATTTGCATTTGAATGTGTTGCTCTCTTTCTCTCTCTCTCTCTCTCTCTCTCTCTCTCTCTCTCTCCCCGTCTATTTAGATCTGTGTCTTTCTATCGGCCTTTCAGGGTACGTTAGCCATTACATCAATTATGTTTCTTGAGTGGAAAAAGAGAGAGAAAAAAAAAAGGAGGCAAAGGTTTAGTTGCATGGGACGTTGGTCATCTTTTGAAACTAGTGCTTTTAGGTGGTGTAGGTCAGCTTTGCAATCATTGATCATATGGGTTATGTTACAATTTAAATAGTTGATGTCACAATCTGATAACTGATTTATGTTTTTGAAGAACAAGTCATTGGCAATGGGGCATGTTAAAATGCTCAACTTTATGCAAGTACATGTAGTGAATTTAGGTGATGGATTTATGTCTTATCTAACGAGTTGGAGTGGATGGATGCTTTTACTCTTTTCAGTTGTGGTGGGTTTAAGCTTCTGTTAGAAAAATGTGATCTGGTATCTCCAATGCTAGCTTAATGCAAAAGTTCTGTTTGGCTGGTTGCTTTGTTGAATGTTTAAGTAAGAAATATGCTTGTAAAGAATCTGCGATGTTGCTTGAAACTTTTGGGATTATAGATTGGATCTCTATTGTAGGCAATGCTAGTGAATTAAATTTTGGTGGGGTTATTGAATACTAGAGGGATAAATCATTTTTCTCCTCTAGATGAGTAAACATTCAAAAATAAAAAATAGTGATAGTTAAACAGTACAATACCTTTTTTAAGTTATGGTTGGGCAATTTGATAATGTAGCAGTATATCTTGTTATGAATCAGTTGGCCTTTTATATGTACAGGTTTGCAAACACTTCTTGGAAGCAGTGGAAAAGAAGCAGTATGGTTGGTTTTGGGCTTGTCCAAATGGTGGAAAAGAGTGCCATTACAGACATGCTCTTCCTCCTGGTTATATTTTGAAGTCTCAGATGAAGTCACTTCTTGATGAAGAGTCTGAAAAAATTGCCATTGAGGATGAGATCGAAAATCAGGTGATGATCATATTGATTTTGTTAACTTTGCATTTTCATTTTGTCCTTCACTGTTGTGGTGGAAACTTTTTGTACATTTGCAAATATATGCATTGCATCCTTAAGTATTTTTTAAGCTTTATTTCCTCTGTTTTGTATTTTTAATGCTCATCTGCTGATTACTGCAGCGTGCAAAAGTTACAACCTGTACTCCAATGACCACTGATTTGTTCATGCAATGGAGGAAGAAAAAGACAGAAGAGAAAGAGGCTGGCCTGGCTGTACAACGAGCAGATAGGGCTAAGAATGACCGCATGAGGTTTTGTTCCTTCCATGGTTTGCATTTTGTATGTATTTTTTTTGTTTTATGCTATTGACTCAATTTTTTCTGTATTTCAGTGGTCGTGAGTTGTTTCTTGCGGATGCTAGCGTGTTTGTGGATGATGCTGAAGCTTATGAAAAATACCAGAGACAAGAACCTGAGGCTGCTGAAGAGAAGGTAATATTTTCATTTTGTATTACACATGTGATTTATTTATGATGGACCGGCACATGTCACTTTCGAAGTCAACAAAGCTTTAGTGTGTTTCTGTATATTCTTTTGGTAACGTTTTAGCTAACTTTTAACTTCCAACATCTCATCACTTAGAAGGGAGGGAAAAAAAGGTGACTTGTGTGAATATTATTTCTTATCTTTGAGTTTGCTTTTTTTTATTTTTTATTTTTTGGGGTATTATGAAAGTTTTCTGTATCTTAAGTTCTCATGCTTCTATGCCGTCGAAGAAAATTATTGGCTTATCAAAATAAGTGTCCAAAGATGCTATTTTTCTGGTCATTTGGGCTATCTGTCATTACTTTTGTTTGGGCTTGATTGTCTAGAAGTTATTCTCAGCTATGGGCATCACCTCAGTTTTTTTTAATAAGGGAAAAGAAAAAGAATTGAACTATTTCAGTATCTTGATAAAGATAACTGTTCAGTGTTATGTAATAGAAGTTTTGTTTTGTGTTATTACTTACATGCTGGTCGAGCTTTATTGCTGGATGGCCATTGCATGCGGCACAGAATGGCCACAGTTATAATGATAATGCTGTGATAGCCAAGTACAAGGGAGGATTGAACATTCTTTTGAATTCGTCAATGACTTATATGATACCAAAATGATGTGATTGATGCAATGAGATAAGATTCTGCTGTAGATGTCTAAATGTGATTTGCTTTTCAATTCCTTATTCTTATCTCGTTATTCTTTTTATGCGGCCATGATAGCTAAGTTCAAGGGAGGATTGAACATCCTTTTGAGTTCGTCAATGACTTAGATGATACCAAAATGATGAGATTGATGCAATGAGATAAGATTCTGCCGTAGATGTCTCAATGTGATTTGCTTTTCAATTCCTTATTCTTATCTCGTTATGTTTTTTATGTGTTTATGTTGTCTCTTTGTTTATTTTGTTTATATTAGATCATGGTTTCAAGGTTTTTCTGGTGAGATTATCAAGTTTTGATTACAGATCCATGCATCCTGATCCTTTTAGGGCGTATATCATGTTTTTCTTAGCTCTTTGTGGTTCTGTCTATTGCCTTGTTGCATGAATCCTCAGCAACAAGGAGTGCTCCCCATTTGACTTGTAGATAGTCTATAGGTGGAAATTTACAGGACATTTGGATAAAATAACCATTTTCTTCAAAATATGATCATAATCTTACTACAACTTTTCTCTTTTGCCAAGAGAAATGAAGAAAACATGAGATTGAAGTTTGATATTGATGTGAAAACGCTATATAGCTTTCAATAACAATGTGTGGCGGTCTCTGCCAAAATAGGGTTTGATGAAACATGGCGTTGAGTGTTCTTTATGATTGGGACCCAGTCACTATAAAGTTCCTGTTGCGACTTGCCTTTAGACTGAAAACTCTACTAGCACTCTAGGAGTTTGCTCAGGGAATGTGCCATCTCTTGAAGCACTTTCTTTATTAAATGAGACTATAAAGAAAGAAAAAAAACAAGCCTTTGCTGTCCATGAGTTTATAAATTAATTATTATATCTGTCGTGGTTGTTGCAAATGATTGAGATGTTATTACTCAGTTGCTGCAACAGTAACTGTTTCATACTTTAAAAAAAAAAAAAAAATATTAACCAGTGACACAAGAACCAAAATCTTCGCATAGGTAATTCTGGTTTTGGTACACAAATAGTAGTGTAACTATGTAGTACCGCATTTATCATTACCAAGGAACAAATATTTTGAATCCAGGAGCTATAAATATCATCGATGGTTGATGTGCTTTCTTGAACTCTTAAGACAATACCTAGTTCAAATGAAGTCGGATGGTTCCCATTTACTTGGACATTTAGTAATTGTCTTAACAATTTCCATTTATTTTGTTATCTCAGTTTGTCTGTGCTTCATTTCAGATCAAAGACAACTCAGCAGCAGCAGGACCAAGCGCCTCTACTAGTGTGGCAGGTTCCGAAGAAGTCCCCATCGATGATGATGGTGACGATGACGATGACGACGATGAGTTGGACATGGATGAGTTAAATGAACTTGAAGCAAGTTTGTCAAGAACATCCATTCAGATAAGGGAACCAGGTATAGAGGCATCTTGAAGAGGGGGAGAAGTGAGTTTATTGCTAGCGAGGGACTGAAAGAGACTATAACCAGAAATGTGAGGAAATAATGTATTATTTGTCCTGGGATGTTTTTTATTTGTATTTTTTTATGCTAAATTCTTGGTTCTCGGGATGTGGCTTAATGTTTTATGCAAGGAAAAAAAATCCAAATTTTGATTCAGATTGCTGTTGTTCAATTAACATCTGGTGTCTCTACCTTTCCTATAAGATGAATGTTACATTCCTATTTTTTTGTATGTAGGAAGAAACGTCAAATGATGATAAGAACCGGTTAACTAAAAGATAAAATAAAAAGGGCAATGATTTCCCCACTCCTATTTTATCCACTTATTAAAAAAGGAGTATAAGTGGATAAAATATGAGAAAAATGAGTGGGGAAATCACCACTCAATAAAAATCAAAATCACTCAACTGTAACATAGATAACAGAACTTTCACAGAATCATGCCAACAACAATAATGGCTGACTCATCTGCTTCAGACATCTCAGTGAGTGGACCTCTGAAGTGGAATTGTGTTTAGCAGTTTCCACTCAATTTTTTGACTTTGTATCATCAGCCCTTGGAGTCTCGCTACAAGTGACAAAGATCCAAGCTTCCAGAAAAAGAAGTTTTAGTTTCGTTGGTGAAGAAAACTGCATTCAATGCTGGTGAGCTCTCTGTCACATCTCTTCAAATTACATTTATAGAGATTCTTCCTCATTTTCCATGTGGGAAATTTGACCACCTCTAGGTTGGGGTTGGGGACATGAATGAGAAGAAAAGGTGTATAAATCAGAATCTGATTGAATTATTGCAAGTAAATAAACGTTTGATGAATCTAGCTCCTTGTATTCAAGCCAATGATAGTCTTGGTCTACTCTTTTGTTTTATTAAGACCATTTGCAGTACCCATATGTTCAATGCTGAAGGTGACTCTCCTGTGACAATACATAGACAAAAAATTTGTGCCTTGGGCTTCAAGGAAAGCTGTCTGGCACTTTCACACCATAGTCTCTAAATAAGAAATTGTGGATTGGAGACCAACACAAGTTTGGCATGTGGGCCCCTTCACAATGATCAATCACGGCATATATTAAAAGGCTATATATATATACATATATATATATAGAGAGAGAGAGAGAGAGAGAGAGATTCTTCAAATAAGTTTATTTGAGGAACATCTTTATAGGGCCTCACTTCGTATTGTATTTCACTAATTCAAACATTCTATTTTATAGATATTCATTTAAAGATCATCTCTACAAAAAATCACTTGAATATAATATCATTTGACCACTCAATTAAGTTATTGAAATTTTAGTATTTTATTGAAGTACCGTATTCATTAATTTTGTAGGACACAATTGGATGTCGAAATGGTTTCCAATTTGTTTAATTTTTTGCAAGGATGATCTATGCATATATACTTAAAAAATGGATGGTTTGGATCGTTGAAAAAAAAAAAATTATAGGGGACCCGAAAAGGTGTCCCTCAAATATTTATTTGAGGAATCCGTCAATATAAGAAGAATATATATATATATATGTATGTATATATATGGGGTCTGTAAAATGTTTAACTACTCATCTTTATCTTTCTTTTTTTGTCTTCCCCAAACTAGGACCATATATTCTGCATTTGAATTTTGATGTGAGGTGGGAACACCCAGATTTTCCATTTTTACCAAATCCCACATCGACATCAAGGCAATGCAATAGATAATACTTCAGATATATGTTCTCTCTAAACCCTAAGTCAACATAATTCTAGAAAGGGGAACTTTGTCATTGTTCGAAATTTTTTAATAGAGGGAACAAGAGACTACTGGTGAGTTGCTGTCTAGGCAACTGAGAGAAATTAAAGCATAACCTTTGCACTCTCAGAATATTGGAAGGAACGCAAATCAAGGGGGAAGAGTTACAGTTGGAAAGGTAGATTGAATGAGTAGAAATTAATCAATCATGAAATGTAGTCATATTTCATGCTCATCCAACAAATTCAATCCCTTATTGATCACCAAAAGATCATGCTTTTTAGACAAAACTTGTGTCTATTAATTCTGTGACGTATTCATGACAATAGCCTGTGATGTAAGATGATAAATAAAAGTCAAAAGAATGAATTTTGATGAGGCAGACTTCCTCTTAAAGTTAACCAATGAGTGTTCTTTCACTTTCAAATGCGTAGATAAGATTCCTAGTGGTCCAAAATCCCTTAGGAAATGGCCAATCTAATGATGGATGAACATGATTTCGTTGGTGGATTCAATGAATTTTTTATTTTATTTTTCCACTTTCATATACTTTTCTGCAAGTTTCTTTCTCGACTCGACTGTGATGAATTTTTCTTGATTTAGTTGAACAAATTAATATATTTATTACTCTACCGACACATGTCAAGTTTGAGCCCTTTGACGTGTCAAACCAAATATGCAGGTTCATCGCATTTGGCTTGACTGACAGGACTGCCTGCAGCCCCACTTTGAGGACCACTGATTGTCTGATTATAACTTGTTGCTTAATTGGTAAGAACATGAAAGCTTTGCAGTCCAAGCAAAGAAGTTGGTTAATTATATCAAGATCACAATCTTTCTTGATGTGGTAAATAAATGAAACTGATGTTCATCAAAAGCATTGGAGAAATGCACCTTTGATTTCAACTTATCAGCCAGACAGGTAGATACAGAAGATAAGTGGCAAATAGAATTCACTAATTTGCAGAAACAAATTGGATTTCATGCTTGCTTCTAACCCTCAAACGAAAGAAAATAAAAAACAAGAAAACAAAGAAAACCCCTACCCCTTTCTCTCATCATCAGTCTCATGCTCATAGCTAAAGGCAAATTGGCCGGTACTGAGGGCCTCTCCTCCCCTTTCCCAAATACTGCTAGTCTGCTAGTGTTTCTCATCAGAATAGTAGCCACTTGATGAACCTGGGTTTTCCCCGAAATTGGTAACACACTTTGCTCCTGCTCCTCCTGCTATGTTGCTCAGAGTCTCTACCAGTTCCCCAAATATTCTAGCTTTGATCTGACCTCTTTGTGGTGGGATATTGGCCATGGATTTTGATTCTTTTCCTTTCTTCACTGGCTTGGTGCTTTTGTTTTCCATTTCTCAGCTGATTTTTTAGGAAAAGAAGAAGAAGAAGAGGAGAAGCTGCAGGGCAGTGGTGGTGAAGTGAGCTGAACTGGAAGTGTGCACTTTATGTGTATTTGGTGGAGGAAGCAATTATTAGTTAGGCAATTTTGTCAAAAAAGTCTTTATCACTCATGCACATGCAGTGTGAACACCATATATAAAATTGCTTGAATGCTGAATATAAAGGAATTAACTTGTGGGGGGGTTTGGATCCACACATAGATTCCATCACCTCTATTTCAGTATATAAAAAAAATATTGGGATGAGAATTGACAAGAACAAGAAATGCACATGCACTAGTGATTTTGCCAAGGCCAAGAAAAACCTCAAAAAAACCAAAAGCATAAAGGAGATCAACTAGAAACTATTATATTAAGTCCATGGCAAAATATATAATTTTAATCTGAAGAACCGGATTCTGGTGTGACAGAATCAGATTGTGACTGGTATTTGAAAATTGGTTCTGGACCTTTCTGGTGCAGCAGACAACTAATGAACGAAACACGAATCTTGAAGAAAAAAAAATCGGGTAATTTTTAAATTCTTAGGTCCACATCAGGCATTATAGTTTCTCTAACAAAACAACATCAAGTGAATTAAACATGTGAATTAATTAGATGAACTAAAGAAAGCACCATCCAAAAGTAGAATAATTTGGTGTCATCAAACAAGTAAGAAACATGATTATTCAGAGAGCAAACTTATTTTTAGTACTAGTCTAAATCGGGAGGGGTTTCTCTCACACACGACTGATGCCATGGGTGCAAACCTGAGACCTCGAAGCAAAATTTTAATCACCAAATAAATGAGCACAGAGCAAATAAACATACAATGAAATTGGAAAATTGTCGCCTAAACAAGTTGAAAATTTGCCTACACCGAACACAAATGCTTTGCTTTTCAAGCCTTTTTGTTCTGACCATCTGGCTGATTTGCTGAAGCTGATGAGCTTTGTCCCCCATTGTCACTTTGATATGCCATTCCTATCAGATTGATGACAGTCTTTTTGATGTCCCCATATATTTTAGCTTTGATTTTGCCTCTCCTTGGTGGAAGGGTGGCTGCTTCTTTGTGCATCGGCTTATATCTACTTCTGTCTTCCATTTTTCTTTTTCTGGCTTGTGGGGTGTGTGTGGATATAATATTGAAGGTTTGTGTATATATTATTATTTAGTAACTGAAGATGAAGAAGAAGAGTTGGCCTGACAAGCAAAGCATGTAAGCCAAGTGTCTCACATAAGCTCCACGTAGTGTGAATGCATTAGAAGAACAGACAAACAGACATGTTCAACCAAATAAAAATATTAAAATAAATAAATGGATGTTTAGCATTAGTACTATTACTATACGAGGTTGTTTTATTAGCAACTCTCTCTCTCTCTCTCTCTCTCTCTCTCTCTCTCTCTCTCCAGTGTCAAATATCAATTAAGTAATCAAATTAGACAGTATTTAAAGTTAATAAAACCAAAGGAAAGGAAACATGCACAGCTGTTACACTGAAAAAATCAAATTGGGAACTTTTAATTCGAAGATGACTTGGGCCAGAGGCCAACAACAACACAATTAACAATACAGGTTTGAGTTTGGAAGAGAATCAGGTTCTTCTACACTCATGTATTTTAAGCATTGATACTTGATAGTGCTGCTGCTGCTGCTGCTGTATTTTCATTTCTTTTTCTTTTTTTCTTTTTCAACTGAAAATGAAGAACATATCTATTAATTTTAATTTCCTCCATGAATCCCATCAAATAAAAAACAAGAACCCACGAGCTGCAATTTCTGCTTTGTGACTCATCTGTTCACGCACGTGCCCCCAGCTTCCTAAACTTGGAAGAAATGGAAGCTAACTAAGCATAACAGATAAATAAAAGAACCAAACCCAGAAGCAGAATTTGCAAAATCCATACTGCCATTGCTATATATTGGCCTGAAACTTGTATATAAATATAGAAATATCCTAACTACGCAATTTCCCATTTCAACTAAAATGCCATGCCCATGACCCAAATAATCTGTTTGGTTTCAACTCTGTATCTGCGT